TCCAGCCTTCTTCCACCCCCACCTCACAGAGAGGCCTAGCCTGACCTCCCTGGCTGACACAGCAGCTCCCACATGTGCCCATCAGTCACCATTCTCTTACCCTTCCTGATTTTTCTTGCTTCCCATTTTAATATGTATTTTACGTTTTTAAATAAAATATTTCTAACCTAAGGGGCCAGCCCAGTGGTGCAGCGGTTAAGTTCGCACGTTCCACTGCTGCGGCCTGGGGTTTGCCAGTTCGGGTCCCAGGTGCAGACATGACACCGCTTGGCAAGCCATGCTGTGGCAGGCGTTCCACATATAAAGTAGAGGAAGATGGGCACGGATGTTAGCTCAGGGCCAGTCTTCCTCAGCAAAAAGAGAAGGATTGGCAGCAGATGTTAGCTCAGGGCTAATCTTCCTAAAAAAATATATATATATATATGTATATTTCTAACATAAAATAATAAAACAAACACCCCTGTACCCCTCTCCCAGATTTGACAAGTATTAGTGTTCTGCCCTATTGCTTACTTCAGATCCCCCCTTTTAATCAACTTTGTTGAGGTAGAATTTACATACAATAAATACATACATTTTTAATATGTAGTTTGTTGATTTTTGGCAAAGGCACCATGTAACCACCACCACAATCAAGATACAGACGATTTCCATCAGCCCGGAGAGGCCCCTCACCTCCCTTACCCTGCCGGATTTTTCTTCCTAGTACTTAGCATTATCTGAAATCGCCTGTTTGTGCCTTTTTTAGTCTGTTTATTGTCTGTCTCTCCCAGTGGAGTGTAAGTCCCACAAAGGCAGGGACTGTATCTTGCTCTCCAGTCCTGGCGCATAGTAGGCCCGCAGTCAGTCCATCAGAGTCCTGATATTGTATTTATTATCCTTATGCGCACATCTTGACACACGTGTGTGAGGACATCTGTGGGGTAAGTTCCTGCAATTATTGGGTCAAAGGACATTTACTTTTTTTGTTCTCATAAAAGAGACATCTACGCCCCCTTCTCTCGTCTATCCAGAGTTCCTCCACCTCAGCATTATTGCCATTTTGGGCTAGGTCATTCTTTGCTTGGGGGTCGGGGGCTGTCCTGCGCATTGCAGGACGTCGAACAGCATCCCTGCCCTCTACCGATGAGATGCCAGTGGCATCCTCCACCCCAGCTGTGACAACCCCAAATGTCTCCAGACATTGGTAAATGTCCCCTGGGGGGCCAAATTGTCCCCAGTTGAGAACCACTGGTCTATATATGTAGGCTCCTTTCTCGCCATACTAGATTGTTCCTCAGCTGGGCCCATCTCTAAATAAACGACCCTCGATGATGCTAGATTTGTAGAATCGGTTGTTTACCCTGTTTATGCGGCTCAGCGGACTGAATTACAAGTCCTGACCCCTGTCTGCATCAGGAGATGAGAAGCTGATTAGCTTTAGAAGCAGGACAGGCATCTCTCTGATTTGTCACCTGGGAGGATCAGAATCCACAAGGAGGGAACGGCTTTTCCCCGGCCTGGGGCTGGGCGCAGCAGAATTCTCAGCATTCCCTGCCTGAGGATAGATAGGTCTGCAGGGTCATGCCCTGAGGATGCTGCCTTTTCCAGGCCTTCGAGAACAAGGAGGAAACCCCTAGCAACCGGGTAAAGGGTTCTGAACTTCTTTGATTACTCAGAACACTGAGTTGGCCGTTCCTGTCAAAAAATCTGGAAGCTTGATGCCCGGGGCAGCACAGCAGGAATGTAAAGGGGTGAAGGAGGACCTGTGGGGACCTAGTGAAATACAGGGGGCAGGTCCCACCATGGGGAGCACTGCACTGTGGCTGGATGAGAGCCCAGCCTTGCCAAACCTTCCCATTTTTTTCAAAAAGGCAAGAAATTCAGATTTTAAAAAAATGTGGAATATCTTGATTCTTGAATTTTGTCATAATTATCCAGTAATTTATCTGTTTAAACATAATCTGGGCCAAACAGAGCGCGTCTACAGGCTGCCAGTTTGCAACCTCTTGAGTTAATGTGCAAGGTTGTTTCTTGTTTGGGGACTAACTCTCTTGGTACAGAAATCTTTTGGTTTGACTGTTTATCCAGTCAACAGATGTTTATTGAGTATCTACTATGTGCCAGGCATTGTTCTAGAGATGCCACGTGGCATTAAGGTGCTGAAATGACTGACACCAAAAGGAATGGAGATTATGGGTGGATGGCTGGAGAATGGATAGGTGATGGATGGAGGAGGGATAGATGATGGGTATGGATGGATGGAGGAGGGATAGATGATGGATGGATGGATGGAGGAGGGATAGATGATGGATGGATGGATGGATGGAGGAGAGATAGATGATGGATGGATGGATGGAGGAGAGATAGATGATGGATGGAGGAGGGATAGATGATGGGTAGATGGATGGAGGAGGGATAGATGATGGATGGATGGATGGATGGAGGAGAGATAGATGATGGATGGAGGAGGGATAGATGATGGATGGATGGATGGAGGAGGGATAGATGATGGATGGATGGATGGAGGAGAGGTAGATGATGGATGGAGGAGGGATAGATGGATGGATGGATGGAGGAGGGATAGATGATGGATGGATGGATGGAGGAGGGATAGATGATGGATGGATGGATGGAGGAGAGATAGATGATGGATGGATGGATGGAGGAGAGATAGATGATGGATGGAGGAGGGATAGATGATGGGTAGATGGATGGAGGAGGGATAGATGATGGATGGATGGATGGAGGAGAGGTAGATGATGGATGGAGGAGGGATAGATGATGGGTAGATGGATGGAGGAGGGATAGATGATGGATGGATGGAGGAGGGATAGATGATGGATGGAGGAGGGATAGATGATGGGTAGATGGATGGAGGAGGGATAGATGATGGATGGATGGATGGAGGAGAGATAGATGATGGATGGAGGAGGGATAGATGATGGGTAGATGGATGGAGGAGGGATAGATGATGGATGGATGGATGGAGGAGGGATAGATGATGGATGGAGGAGGGATAGATGATGGATGGATGGATGGAGGAGGGATAGATGATGGATGGAGGAGGGATAGATGATGGATGGATGGATGGAGGAGGGATAGATGATGGATGGATGGATGGATGGAGGAGGGATAGATGATGGATGGAGGAGGGATAGATGATGGATGGATGGATGGAGGAGGGATAGATGATGGATGGATGGATGGAGGAGGGATAGATGATGGGTAGATGGATGGAGGAGGGATAGATGATGGATGGATGGATGGATGGAGGATGGATAGATGATGGGTAGATGGATGGAGGAGGGATAGATGATGGGTAGATGGATGGAGGAGGGATAGATGATGGATGGATGGTTGGAGGAGGGATAGATGTTGGATGGATGGATGGTAAATGGATGGATGGGTGGATACATAGACAGATAGATCAAGCTGGTCTTTTAGAGATACATACTAAAATATTACAGATAAAATAATATGATATCTGGGCATTACTTCAGAATAATATGGGGACTTGAATAAGACTATAGGAAAATCAAGAATGGCCATGAGATGATAATTGTTGAAGCTGAATGATGGTGGATTTGGGGAGGTTCCTTCTACTCTTCTGCCTTTTGAATACGATTGGAAATTTCCTGTACTAAAAATGTTTGTTTCAATTTCGTTATCAGTTAGAGATGCCCTCTGAAGGATATCCAGGTAAAATGACATCATGTCTGGGACTTGGTTTAAAATATTCAGCTAAAATTTTTTTACAAGCCAGGGTGTAGATGTGCTCTGGTCTGAATGTTTGTGTGTGTGTGTCTGGTGTCCTGCCACCAAACTCACTTGTTGGAATCTTAACGCCCAATGTGATGGTGTTCTATAGAAGGTGGGGCCTTGGGGAGGTGATCAGGTCATGAAGGAGGGGTCCTCATGAGTGGGATTAGTGCCCTTATAAAAGAGGCCCACAGAGTTCCCTAGCACCTTCCACAAGGAGGACATAAGGGGAAGTCTGTGACCCAGAAGGGGCCCCCCACCCGACCCTGCTGGCACCCTGATCTCGGCCTCCAGAACTGTGAGGAATAAATTTCTGCTGTTTCTTAGCCACCCAGGCTGCAGTATTTTGTTATAGCAGCCGGTCCGGACGAAGACCAGATGAAACATCCTTCAGCAAAATGTTGATAAGTTGTTATGACTGGGCGATAGAGATTCATTGTACTGGTCTGTTTCATTTGTATATGGTTGGAATTTTCTACAATAAAAGAAAGTTTTTAAAAAGGGACAGAGAAGGCGGGGGCTCCTATTTTCTCGGTACTTTTGGAAGTATGGAGTCATGCACTGGGGGCTTAGGTGAATTTCCAACAAGTGTGCCAGTGTTGACGTTAAGGGAATGGGTCCCCTTTAACAAGGGATGTCACAGGCCGAGCATTGCCATGGTGAGGCCGGAAGCGTGGGCTCTGTTGTGGACTGCGGGTGGAGAACACATTTCTCACCCAGAGAGTTGCCCTGCAGGGTAGTCTGCCTCCCAGGGGTCCTGCTGGGAGGCGGACTAGCATGGTGGGCAGAATATCTGGAATCAGCTTCCTTGAGTACACATACCAGCACTACTGATTTCCAGCTGTGTGGCCTTGGACATGCTCCTTAACCCCTCTGAGCCTCAATTTCCTCGTCTATTAAATGAGAGTAATATTAATGTCTCACAGACTCATTCTGAAGGTTGAACTGGTGATTACATGTAAAGTGCTTAACACAGTACTTGACAGGTAGCATTTATTTATTATCGTTACTGATGCTTTTGTTGTTACTGTGTCGTCGCTGCTGTTGAGTGTGCTAAGAGCAGAAAGAACTTTCTGAGATAGATGGAAGAAAATAATTGGGGGCAGAGGCTAAAGGAAGTCCAAGAGAGTGGCACCCACTGTCAACCGATCCACCCACGGAAGCCCGTTCGTGAGCTGCTGGAATCAATTTCCTGCGTGCTGGTTGCAAAAGGGGATATAAGAGGAAAGCAGCTTCCTGACCGCTTCCTTTTTCTGCAGAATGAAGTAGAGCTGGGGGAGCTGCTTCTGTCACTGAATTATCTCCCGAGTGCCGGGAGACTCAATGTTGATGTCATTCGAGCCAAGCAACTTCTTCAGACAGATGTGAGCCAAGGGTCAGGTACAGTGCGTTCCCCTCCTTCCTCTCTTTCTTTAACAAGCAATCTATTTTTGTTTGACACAGGGCCCCAGGTTTCTTTTTCTGCATCCCGGATACTATTAGTAAGACCCTGTGAGGGTAAATAACATCCAGAACTAGGAGGTTAGTTCAAGAGGGAAAATAAACCATCAGATATCTCTTAGGATGAGGCCGGTAAATGATGCCATCTCTGTATCCCCATTCAAAGTGGGGATTTGACCAAGACCAGGAGTGAGAACTACTGAAATCTAGATCCTTGTACACACGCAGCCCCAAGGAGGTTCCTTGCCTTTCCTGATGCTGTGCCTGCAATAGAGACATCACGCTCCAGGGGGCAGTAGTATGCATTGACTGTGCCTTCTAATCACCAAGAGTGATGCACAGACCCCGAGGTTTTTTCCCAGCTCGCTTCAAGTGTAGTATAAATCTTTATAAACCTCAGCTCAGAAAAGAATATTGTATTAAAGTGTCTACTTTATAGCCAACCAATTCAAACATGACTTTTAATGAAGTGGAACAGATTACATTCCATCTGTATGTAGCTTCTCTCATGCCAGCAAAGGATATTACTTTGAAAGCAGCCATGGTCGCTGGGATCTCTTCAGCTCAGTGGTGGAAATGCTGTCCTCTCTAAGTGCGATAGCTAAAATAAATTACTTTCGCTATAAGGTGACAGCTGAATTTGGAAGACAACTTGCATTCTCAAAAACCATATTATAAAAACAGATCGGAAAAGAACCCGTGGAGAGAACAGTATTAAAGCTGCAGCGTTTCAGACTCACCACAAAGGATAGTCGGTATGATAAAATGATTAAGAGTTTCAGCATCAAACTGCCTGGAACCAAATCCTATTTCTACTGCCTGCAAATGCTGTGGCCTTGGAGAAGTTACTTAACCTCTGTAAGCCTCAATTTCTCCATCTGAAAAATTGACATAATAACAGTATTCATCTCATTGGGTTGTTTAACAATATTAAATTAGATCACGTACCTAAATCTCTTTGTAAACTGTAAAGTGAGCTAAGAATGATAGTTATAATTCTGCCATCTCTATTCTCCTGTGTATGGGCTGTGGGCTCACTGACATGATAATGTGTTCTCAGGGACAGAAAGCCAGGACAGGCTCTTGGTCTGGCTTTTCCTCCACTAGCCAGATCTTAAGCAAATCATTTCTCGTCTTGAGTCCTCAGTTTCTTCGTTTGTAAAACGAACACAATGCCTGATGCAAGAGAGGAGCTCAGTAAATATTTGATGGCTGGAGGATGAGAGAAATGATGGGCAGATAAGCAATTGGATGGGAAAAAGGAGAAATGAATAACAGATGGATGGATGTGAAATGGATGAATGAAAGGGGTAGATGCCTGGACTGATGGATGGAAAGAGAGATGGATTAATGGAAAAAGAGATGAAAGGATGCATAGGTGGTTGGGCTGTGAGAGAGATGGGCAGATGGATGGCTAGATAGTTGGATGGGTAGAAGAATGGATGGAAGAGAGGGTGGGTGAAAGGCCGGTGAAATGATGCGTGGATAGGTGAACTGATGGATGGATGGATGGAAGAGTGGATAAGTAAAAGGATGGATGGATGGTTGGGAGGATGAATGGGTGAATGGATGGATGGATTTGGTTTCATGATCTCCAGTATTCTATCACGCTGTGTCCCATTCTCAGACCCCTTTGTGAAAATCCAACTGGTTCATGGACTCAAGCTTGTGAAAACCAAGAAGACATCCTTCTTAAGAGGCACAATTGATCCTTTCTACAACGAGTCCTTCAGCTTCAAAGTTCCCCAAGAAGAACTGGAAAATGCCAGCCTCGTGTTTACAGGTAGGTGGCATTCCAGACCCTGATGAATCCCAGGTGAGGCACGTTCAACTTATTGCCTAGAGATAGAAGACACCCAGAGAGGGTAATGTTTAAGAACTCCATGTCTAGTATTCAGCTACCTGAGTCTGAATCCACTTACCATCTGTGAACGTGGGTAAGACTCTTCGAGCCATATAGCATAATTGTTACAAATGTAAACTTTAGCCAGATTTCCCGGCACTTCCACATAATAACTTGCCCATGAAGCCTTGGGCAAGTTCCGGAGCCCCTCTGAGCCTCAGTTTCTTTATCTATAAAATGGGGGCAATAGTAGTCCTTGCTTCATAAGTTTGTTGTGAAGAAGTACTCACTGTGTTAGCTCTGACGATATGATGATTTGAGTAGCGTATAGTCTGCTGGGGAAACATTTGAAAAATAGGGTCACCTAACTCAGAGAGGAGGATTTTGAAAAGCTTCCCAGAGGATATAGCATTTAGGTAGACACTTCCTGTGCCACTCTGGTTGAACTTAATCTATTGTTTCCAGTGTCTAATTTAATCTATTGTCTCCAGGGTGTCTTAGTTATCTATTGCTGCATAACAAATCACCCCAAAATTTAGTGGCTTAAAACAATGAACGTTTATTGTCTCATAGTTCCTGTGGGTCAGGAGTCCAGGCGTATCTTTGCTTGCTTTCTGGCTAGCTTCTCTGACAAGGCTGCAGTCAAGCTATTGGCCAGGGCTGCAGTGTCATCTGAAGGCTCAGATCTATTTTCAAGCCCACTCACGTAGTTGTTGGCAGGATTCAGGTCATTGCAGGCTGTTGCACTGGGGGCCTCAGTTCTGTCCTGGGGGTTGGCCAGTGACCTTGCTCAACTCCTCACCACGTGGGCTTCTCCCTAGGTCAACTCACAACAGAGCAGATGGCTTCCATCAGAGCCGGCAAGTGAGGGAGCAAGAGACAGTGAGCAAGATGGAAGCCAGAGTCTTTGTAAATCTAATCTCGGAAGTGACATCCTATCACTTGTGTTCATTAGAAGCAACTCACTAGGTCCAACTCACACTCAAGTGTGGAGAGATTACACAAGGACACGAGTACTGGCAGGAAGAGATCATTGGGAGCCATTTTAGAAGCTGCCCACCACAACATGGTTAGAGTTATTAGAAGTAACCGTTATTATTTTCTGGGTCCCATTCACAGCAGGGGCTTCACCTCTATTGTTGCTAATCTTCATCATAACCCACCCTGTCAGGTCAGTATCATCCTCATCAACTTACCGGGCGAGGCACTTAAAACCTAAGCAGCCCACCCAGGGTCTCAAACTGGGGGCATCAGGGCTCGAGCTCTGTTCTCCATAGCTCCAAAGATCACGGGATCTGCATTTCCGCAAGCGGCAAGGCAGTACTGGGATTGGGGATCTGACATCACGCTCTGAGGAGTCCTGGTCCAGAGTAATTGGAAGCTCTCATCTGCTTCCGTCTGGTTTAAAATCCTTAGCTGCCGTAGCTGAAAAGCCTCGCATGCAAGGCTTCCTCCGCTTCGGCTTATTGCTTGTCATCACCGAGACTGCAGATGTTCCGTGCCCCGAGACCCCTCCCAGGTGGGCTGGGCTTTCTCAGGGCCTGTCCCCCGGGGAGTCTGCATGCGATCAGGGGCTGCCTGTCCTAAGCAGATACAATGGTCGTATCTGATCGCTGCAGCCTGTGATGGCTGCTGTCCCCGGGCCTCGCTCTCCCCAAGGTTTCAGGTCAGGACAGAAGACAGAGATTCCACTGAACCGTTGGTTGGTGGAGGGCAGGCAGTGGGAACTATATTGAGCTAAGATCGGATCCGAGTGTGGAACAGTGATTCCCAAGCCCCTGCTGAGAATAAAGGGCTTAATGTCACAAGTTTAGATCAGGAGGGGACTCCAGGGGACATGGAGAGCCCATAGGGAAAGCCCTGACACTTTCATATTTTACGACAAAAGTAGTACTCACTTGTTATAATGAGTGACACAACCAAAAGATGCGTGTTGGGGGGCATCAGGAGAGCAGAGCGGCTAAATGCACGGGCTGTGGAGCTGGGGCCTGGGTCCTGGCTTTGTGGCCTTGGGCTTATGTTTTCTCATCTGTAAAATGGGGACAAGGACACCTCAAAGGATGGTGCTGTGGATTAAATGAGATTTAACACATAGTAGTGCTGAGCACTGTGCCTTGCGCGCGGCCAGCGCTCAGTAAGTGTTAACTGTTATTGAATGGACATCTTACCGTCTCCCTCATCCCCCTTCCACTCCCTTCTCCCTGGAGTCACCACCTTGAGCATCCTGGTGCGTCACTACACAGTTATCCTTGTTCACACAAACTTCATCCACATGTGGAAGAGTCACTTCCTTTCAAAGGTTATTCGCTAATTCAAGAAGTATTTGTGAAGCACCTTCCCTCTACTAGACACTTTCCAAGTGCCGGGAACGTAGCAGTGGACAAGACAGGCTCTTGTGAAAGTTTCTGGACCGCTCTGTGGATGTCACCCTGAACTGTGCTTTCGTTTCATTCATAGTGAATGTGTTTAGCCCTCCGGGTCAATGCAAATGCGAGTGGCTCTAACTCTTTATTTTTAACCGTGTTATATACCATCACGTGGTTTAGGGTGATCAAAGCAGAGGTTATTCTGTCCCGGGGGGCGAGGGGTGTGTGACGGAGCTTCAGAGAATGTGCTAAGAACTCTGGAGGATTCTCCCCACAAAAATACGCAGAAGGACAGAAAATTTTGCATATAGTTCAGAGGTTATTTGAATCCCATATGTGAACCCCATAAGGCAGAAGCCTCAAACTGGAGCGATGCTCCCCACCCCCCGTCCCCATCCGTGTCCCCTTCGACCCCCCGCACTACAGGAGGCAGTGGTCAACTGCACCCGTCAGACAAGGCCTGAGCTTCCATTCAGGGAGGGTCTGCTGCTCTCTTTGAAACATTGGGGTTTGGGGCCCAGTTCAGGGGCTCTTCTCCTCAAGTTAGAAGCCTATTGAAAATATTCAGTACAGAGGATCGAGGCCTCCTTGCCCCCTTAAGTAAGGGGTTCTCAACCTTGCCTGTGCTTTAGAATCAGCTGGGAGCTTTAAAGCGTTACCAGTGGCTAGACCCCACGCCCAGAGACTCTGATTCAGCTGGACCAAGCTGGGGTCCTGGGCGCTCTCTGTATATCTGTATTTTTAAAGCACCCCAGATATTTCTAATGCTCAGTCAGGGTGCAGAACCATGGCTGTGAGTGGAAATCGCAGCTGGGGTGGCATTTGACATAAAGGGCGCTGGCTGGAATAACAAAAGAAGTACGGATTAAGCTGTATGTCTCTAGGCAAAGCTACAATTCTCCTGAATTCAAATCCATAAGGTTCTAACTTGCTTTATTTATCAACTAGGGGAAAGAGCTGTCACCTCCAGGCTCAAGATCTGAAACCCAGCCCATTAGCTTGTTTCCAAACACTTCATAGCAAAAGTAAGGTTGATCTGCAATTTAAGCGTTTGCAGAGAATGCTGGTAAGAGCCTGTAATTAGCTGGTGGGCCCGCTGTCTGAGTGCTTCCATTCCTGTGTGGGATGTTCCTCTGCAGTTTTCAATCAGGTGATTTCTGCAGCTGAAGTTTAAAAGAAAAGAAGGGGGAAAATTGCTTTTCGACTCCTGAGTTAGCAACACGCGGTCCACAGGCCCTCCGGGAAAGCAGGATGGAGTTGACCGCTGGATGACGGGCTGCCATTGGCAGTAGGGGGAAAAAAAAGAAATGCAGCTTGATGATGGCTTTTCAAAAAATTAAAAATAGAATTCCAGTATGACCTGGCAGTTCTACTTCTGGGTATATACCCAAAAGAATTGACAACAGGACTCAAACAGATAACTGTGCACTCATGTTCATAGCAGCGTTAATCACAATAGCTAAAAGATGGAAGCAACCCAGTGTCCGTCAATGGATGGAGGGATGGACAAACAAAATGTGGTCCATCCATACAATGGAGAGTTACTCAGCCTTAAAAGGAGGGAAACTGTGAGACGTGCTCCAACATGGATGAAGCTTGAGGACGTCATCCTTCGTGAAATAAGCCAGATAGGAAAGGACAAATGCTGTGTAATTCCATGTATGTGAGGTACCCGGAGTAGTCAAATTCGTGGGGATAGAAAGAATAGAGGTTATCAGGTTGGGGGGAGGGGAGAATGGGGAGTTATTGTTTAATGGGTACAGAGTTTTAGTTTGGGAAGATGAAAAGATTTTTAGTTTGGGAGATGGATGGTGGTGATGGTTGCACAATAATATGAGTTGCCTTAATTCCACCGAATTGTATGCCTAGAAGTGGTTAAAACGGTAAATATTATGTTGCATGTATTTTACCATAATTTCAAAAAAACAGAGAGAGGAAGGAAATGCAGTTTGAGCTCCACCGAAGCTGAGAAGTCCTGGAGGCTGAGGCGGGACGCTTGCAGACTCTTCTCCCTGAGAAAAGGCCCCGTCCTTTCCTTGCCACTCTGAGGGGTAAGAATGGGGTTGGGGGCCAGACCCTTGAGCCTGATGCCTGGGATCTTGGCCTCTCTTTGCCTCAGCTCCCTCATCTGTAAAATGGGGACACTGGTCCTTACTTCAGTCACTTGTTATCGAGTCCAAAATGGGTGACTGTATGTAAAGCTTTACAATGGCGCTTGGCTCAGAGAAAGTGCTCCGTAAGCCTTAGCTATTATTGTTATTACTTGAAAGACGCCAAATTTATGCAGCCAGATGCCACCATAAAGCTTCCGGAAAAGGGCGAGTAGTTATACATTAATAAATAATATGTTTCTACCCACTTTGTCAACTTAGAGTCAGATTCTGTGGAAAACCCAAAAAGGAAAGGAAAACCATTTTACACACTTACCTGGCTGGGATATTGTCTCAGCTTCCTGTCCCCTCCCCCTCAACGTCAGAGGAAGACCCCTGTCTTCTTGGAGGTGAATTTCAAGGGAAATCACTAGGTTAGAAGGAACCGAATGCTATGTCAGAATCCTCTAGTTCTCTGCCTCCC